CAAGGCGCTTGTAAAAAACGGCAACGCTGTAGAATTTTTATTAAAAAAAATCTGTCAAAAATTTTTGACATTTGACATTTTTTTTAATTGTCAGTTTATTCTACATCAAAAATCACTTGATTTTTAAAAATTCACAGAGCTTGTCGTTTTTTAAAAATCACTGTATAAAAAATGCAAAATTGCCCCCACCTCGGCTAGAAAAGTTAATTGTCGCGAAATGGCCCCCGGATTCTCCGTCACATAATCCTCCAAATACATCAAGGCTCTTGGGTATTCCCCGCAATAAAAATTGCATAATGCCAACTCCAGTTTACAAAATTTCCCCAAGAAACTTTTGATTTTGATAAAATTGGGGTCGTTTCGTGCCGTTGAACCATGACTCCATTGCCATTCTCGTGTCCATCGATCCAGAAAATCCAAAATGACGAAAACAATTTTCGTACATTGTGTCTTTTTGGCTTTTTCGGTTTCGGTTATTTCGAGGATTGGGCCGAAATAGGGTAATGACCTAAGCTGTAAAAAATGCAATTTTTTCTTTACATTTTCGAATTTTGTGAAACTATTACGAGTATTTGGTCGTTTTTTCTTGTTCCAATCACAGCTTTGATTTCGGTGTAGGCTTTTTCGCGATTTTGTTCCGAATCGCAAATGATTGAATGGAGGAGAATTTGGGGTAGAAAAACCATCAGAATTCGAGTGTCTTGTTTCATTGCCGGCAAACACGGGATTAAAACAGTTTGGTTGGCTTGAGGCAAGGTCATAATCAGACTTCGGGTCCAACTGGAATAAAATTACGATTTTTTAAATTTTTGATTTTTTGGTCAGAATCGAATGCTTCTAGCCTTATTCTTAACTTTATTACTCAATATCTCAAAAACTATGCATCGTAGAGTATTTTTACGATTTTTAGTAAATTGACTATTTTTACGATTTTACTACCGCTCACCTTCAAAAACTCAAAAATTTCAAAATTTTTGAAACTAGACCCAATGTCGTTTTATGCATTTATTTGAGTCCTTAAGACTTCTAGAAATGTAAAAAACGTAAAATAGATCAATTTTAAAGATAAAAATTTTTTTGTTTTTTGTCGAGATTTTGGTCGATTTTTGGCACCCCGAGCGGTTTAATGGCAATAACTCCGGAATTATTAGAGATATCCTCTTATATTTGGTACCGTTGGATAGAAAATTT